CCATTGCTGCAAGTGAGGTCTTAAAGTCCCCCACTATTATTGTGTTACTGTCAATTTCCTCTTTTCTAGCTGTTAGCAGTTGCCTTATGTATTGAGGTGCTCCTATGTTGGGTGCATATATATTTATAATTGTTATATCTTCTTCTTGGATTGATCCCTTGATCATTATGTAGTGTCCTTCCTTGTCTCTGGTAACATGCTTTATTTTAAAGTCTATTTTATCTGCTGTGAGTATTGCTACTCTAACTTTCTTTTGATTTCCGTTTGCATGGAATATCTTTTTCCATCCCCTCACTTTCATTCTGTATGTGTCCCTAGGTCTGAAGTGGGTCTCTTGTAGACAGCATATATATGGGTCTTGCTTTTGTATCCATTCAGCGAGCCTGTGTCTTTTGACTGGAGCATTTAATCCATTCATATTTAAGGTAATATCGAAATGTATGTTCCTATTAGCATTTTCTTAATTGTTATGGGTTTGTTTTTGTAAGTCCTTTTCTTCTCTTGTGTTTCCCACTTAGAGGAGTTCCTTTAGCATTTGTTGTAGAGCTGGTTTGGTGGTGCTGAATTCTCTTAGCTTTTGCTTGTGTGTAGAGCTTTTGATTTCTCTGTCAAATCTCAATGAGATCCTTGCTGGGTAGAGCAATCTCAGTTGTACGTTCTTCCCTTTCATCACTTTAAGTATATCATGCCACTCCCTTCTGGCTTGTAGAGTTTCTGCTGAGAAATCAGCAGTTAACCTTATGGGAGTTCTCTTGTATGTTATTTGTCGTTTTTCCCTTGTTGCTTTCAGTAAGTTTTCTTCGTCTTTAATTTTTGTCAATTTGATTACTATGTGTTTCAGCGTGTTTCTCCTTGGGTTTATCCTGCCTGGGACTCTCTGTGCTTCCTGGACTTGAGTGGCTATTTCCTTTCCCATGTTAGGGAAGCGTTCAACTATAATCTCCTCAAATATTTTCTTGGGTCCTTTCTCTCTTTCTTCTCCTTCTGGGACCCCTATAATGTGAATGTTTTTGCATTTAATGTTTTCCCAGTGGTCTCTTAGGCTTTCTTCATTTCTTTTGGTACTTTTTTCTTTATTCTGTTCTGCAGCAGTGAATTCCACCATTCTGTCTTCCAGGTCACTTATCTGTTCTTCTGCCTCAGTTATTCTGCTATTGATTCCTTCTAGTGTAGTTTTCATTTTAGTTATTGTATTGTTCGTCTCTGTTTGTTTGTTCTTTAATTCTTCTAGGTCTCTGTTAAACATTTCTTACACATTCTCAACCTTTGCCTCCCTTCTTTTTCCGAGATCCTGGATCATCTTCACTATCATTATTCTGAATTTTTTTTTTGGAAGGTTGCCTATCTTCACTTCATTTAGTTGCTTTTCTGGAGTTTTATCTTGTTCCTTGATCTGATACATAGCCCTCTGTCTTTTCATCCTGTTTATCTTTCTGTGAATGTGGTTTTTGTTCCACAGGCTGCAGGATTGTAGTTCTTCTTGCTTCTGCTGTCTGCCCTCTGGTGGATGAGGCTATCTAAGAGGCTTGTGCAAGTTTCCTGATGGGAGGGAATGGTGGTAGGTAGAGCTGGGTGTTGCTCTGGTGGGCAGAGCTCAGTAAAACTTTAATCCACTTGACTATCAATGGGTGGGGCTGGGTTCCCTCGTGTTGGTTGTTTGGCCTGAGGCCACCCAACACTGCAGCCTACCAGGCTCTGTGGTGGGGCTAATGTTGGACTCCAGGAGGGCTCACGCCAAGGAGTACTTCCCAGAACATTTGCTGCCAGTGTCCTTGTCCTCACGGTGAGCCACAGCCATCCCCCACCTCTGCAGGAGACCCTCCAACACTAGCAGGTAGGTCTGGTTCAGTCTCCTGTGAGGTCACTGCTCCTTCCCCTGGGTTCTGATGTGCACACTACTTTGTGTGTGCCCTCCAAGAGTGGAGTCTCTGTTTCCCCCAGTCCTGTCCAAGTCCTGCAATCAAATCCCTCTAGCTTTCAAAGTCTGATTCTCTAGGAATTCCTCCTCCCGTTGACAGACCCCCAGATTGGGAAGCCTGACCAGGGGCCCAGAACCTTCACTCCAGTGGACTTCTGTGGTATAAGTTTCTCCAGTTTGTGGGTCACCCACCAAGCAGTTATGGGCTTTGATTTTATTGTGATTGCGCCCCTCCTACCATCTCATTGTGGCTTCTCCTTTGTCTTTGGATGTGGGGTATCTTTTTCGATGGGTTCCAGTGTCTTCCTGTCGATGATTATTCAGCAGTTAGTTGTGATTCTGGTGTTCTCACAAGAGGGAGTGAGAGCACGTCCTTCTACTCCGCCATCTTCAACCTTAGAGCTTCTTTATTTCACCAGATGGCTGGCATTTTGTTGGCCATTACACACATGCAAGGTGCTGCACATACAAATCTCTAGCCCTCTTGATATTCCCCAGTCACTGGCATTTCATTTTCATAGAAAAGGAAGCTGGGGTTGGGAGAGATTAAGTCTCACCCAGGATGACCATGGTCCTTGGCTGGGCTGTGGGAATCCTTGGATGGATAGCCTGCATTCTCACCACTCATCTGGGGTGTGATGACGGCAGAAAAGGCCACACTTACCTTGTGCTGCCTTGTCTGTGTCACCATTTTGCCTGGAACTAGTTTGGGCCACAAGGAACAAGGAATGACTTAGTTTCTCACTGAACCTTACATGGCAGGACTCCTGGATTGTAAGAAAGGAAGCCTTCTGCATATTCAGAAACAGAGAAAGAAGAGGAAAGACAGGCACACAAAAGCAGATGTGGGGCTACGAATGTAGGGTCTTCAGATTTTACCCAGACTTCTCTGTGTCTTATAAAATAATGTTTTTTCTAAAGTCATCTCTGTTTAATCGCAACCACTTCCACCATCATTATTCAGCATCTATATTAAAAATGACTTACTACAGTTGTCTCTAAAAATCACTTCCAGCTCTAATGCTCAGGGGCTCCGTGATTCTCTATTGCGTGGTTTTGTTTTCAGTGGTCTAAGTTGTGCATATATGTTGTTTTCTACCCAGATCATGACATCTTTGGGGTACAAGCTTGTCTGTTATTGCACTCACATCTTCCTAGGTGCCCTGTGCCGCTTTCTGGGCACACTATAGGTGCCTAATTGAGAGCTGGAAAAACTTGAAGCTCAGTACTTTGCTTCGGGTGACAGTGTCCTAATTTTCCAGCAGATGGCAATCTCTCTACATGAATGGTGCCACTTGGACCACTAAAAACAGGGACTACCTTGAGGATGAACCCTAAAAAAGCCTGCACTGTCCAGACTTTAATGAGAATTTAAGTATTTTTGAATCCAGTTCTAGAAACATTTACCCCTGTTTATAAATAGTAATACTGAATATTTTCAGAGAAGGACAGAACTTAAAAATTAGTGGGATCTGTAAAAAATCTCAAGAATTTGGCAAGAAATTCTGGTGTGTTTTCATAACTATAAGCATATGCATATTGGTCTTGTATTTTTCACCCTCCAGTATGTTTCATTTCCACAAACATAAGCACTTCCCTTTTAAAACTTTTAAAAATAATACTTTGGAATGAAATGTGGGCTATAGTTTGCCCAAATGGATTCAGTTTGCTTCCTTAGTTGTTGTCCTCCAGGAAGCTGAAGATCCGATTGAACCCAGATTTCAGGAGAGGAGAGAGAAGACTCAGCTGATGGCACTGGCCTTCAGAACAGTCTGTAGAAAGGGTCCCTTCTGCAGAAAAGTGATCTGAGCGCTCCCTAAGGGTCCAGAAAATTCCAAGGAAACAAGGGATCAAGGGTGGGGTGAATGGTGAGGGGATTAGTCCCTGGTTCTCCTTAGAAATGCCTTAAAATGGTAACAAAATTGTAATGCATCCAAGAAAGTTACACCCTCAGGAACGTGGATAGTAACCATCTGTCTTCTGTTTTTCCTACAGTGTGAACAACCGTCTGGCACATAAGGCAGCCTCAGTGAGTTCTTAAGTGATTTTATTCCTCCCGGAAGAAATCTGCCTGACTTGGGTCCGGCAGAGGTTTGCAACCCCAGGATGATGCCACTCCCTATGGCTTACTCCTTTGCCTATCCAGTCCCTGGATCACTGAGAGGCAATGTGACGCTCAGATATATACAAAGATGGGCTAAACTTCATAAAGGCTCGTTAGAGAGGCATCTGCACTGTGTGTCTTTGTCTGTCTCTGGCATCCTCATGCATTGCTTTGCCTTCCACTTACAAAGCATCTCCCATCTGATGTTTTCCCACTGCACCCGTGGTGTGGGTGGGCTCAGGGCTGAAGCAGAAGAGATGGGGGAAGAGCCCAGGAGCAGGGGAGGCATGCAAGTGTGCAGGGCCCCCCCCAAGGGGCTATTGGGAACTCCTGCTGAATGAATTCACTGTCCTCTGGGCTCTCCTTCCACCCTGATACCCTCGAACTCAAGGGACTGCCAAGAGCCCATCAGATTATGTCTTTGAGCAACCACATCAATTATTTCTCCATTCGGATGCCTAGAATGGGTGGTCCACGTGTCAGCTGATTGGTTACATAGTATCATTGTGCTTATTAAAACCCTGAATCAATTCCCAAATCAGTACATTTGTCTTCCTGTTATAAGTGCCGTTATCTTTTGTATTTTATTTTTTTTGCTGTACGCGGGCCTCTTGCATTTTTTCTTCTCCTCTTCCATTCTATCCACATCGCAAAGGTTGAAAATGGAATCAAGCATTTAAAGTCATCAGTATCATACAACACACCAAGTTAATTAATTGTGTGGTGGGTTAAAGTTCCTCCTACCAGCCACGCATCCTTAATTTATATCTTAGTTCTATGTTTTTGTTTTCTTTTTTTGGCTGTGCTGCGCGGCATGCAGGATCTTAGTTCCCTGACCAGGGATTGAACCCGTGCCCCCTGCAGTGGAAGCGTGGAGTCTTAACCACTGGGCCGCCAGGGAAGCCCCTGTAGAGAGGTTTATGGTTGATCGGACTTTCAGAAGAAATGAAATAAAGAAACTGGTTTCATGAAACTTACATCAGTGATCATCTTCCCTCGGGTCTTATTTCTCTCTCTGTGGTTGGCCCGTTTCTGTTTCTGCTGCAAAACTCTTTCCCTGGTGGTGCGATACTCCAGTGCAAACTCACTGATGATCCTACAGAACTTGTTTATGTTCACTTCCCGAATCGCATAAGGTGGGTGACCCATAAAGAGCAGAAAGGAGTGGAACCTGCAGTGAAGAAACAACGGTGGCAAGGGCTTCAGGTTTAAGGAACAAAAATCAGTTGCCTGCAAACTTTCAGTAAAAAACCAATCAGCCAAAGACACTGCTCTTCATTCTTGGGGCTCTGAGGTTGAAGAATGAAAATGCAGCCAGAAATCAAGTTCAACTCACTTTCTTACTGACAAAGGTGGTGGGATTTCAGGGGATTTCAGGGATTTCTTCGTGCTTATCTGTGTTTTAATGTCTTTTAAAACTGGGGTGTAAACCTTTTTCTTTTAATAAATTTATTTCTTTATTTATTTTTGGCTACACTGGGTCTTCATTACTGCGCACAGGCTTTCTCTAGTTGTAGTGAGTGCGGGCTACTCTTCATTGCGGTGTGCGGGCTTCTCCTTGCAGTGGCTTCTCTTGTTGCGAAGCACAGGCTCTAGGTGCACGGGCTTCAGTATTTGTGGCTCGCGGGCTCTAGAGCACAGGCTCAGTAGTTGTGGCGCACGGGCTTAGTTGCTCTGTGACATGTGGGATCTTTCCGGACCAGGGCTCGAACCCGTGTCCCCTGCATTGGCAGGCGTTTTCTTAACCACTGCGCCACCAGGAAAGTCCCAAAACTGGTGTGTAACACTTTTATAAGAAAAATGATAAAGTACTATTTTAAGAAAAAGATTGCATAGTTTCTAGATCATACGAAAACTGAATAAGGGATAAAGAAATGTTGCTTAGCAATTTTTTGGGAACCCACTTTAATGAATACGTGGAATTGACATGAACATATTTTGAATAACATGTTAATTCGTGACTTGTAAAAAGATGCTTAAAGTAAATATTTTGAAATATTTTCTTGCAATATTACATGCAATCTTAATTTAATTAGGACACAACAAACAAGCAGGCCTAAATCAATTTATTTCAGCTATTTAGTATATAAATTAAAAATTACTGGATTCTATCTACTTAAAACTTTTGGAAAAGAAATTAAATGAACAAAGAAGTTCCCAATTTTTAGGTATTAAGGAAATGAGAAAGAAGATAGTAGGAGACAGAGTATAATTTTTATGTTGAATAAACAGTATTATATAACTGATACCATTAATTGTATAAAAAAAACTTTTCTGATCACTCTTATTTGTACAGCTTGAATAGGGGTTTGGTTTATTTTTCAAATGAAGGACAGTGGCTCATTCTTTTTGTGAAAAATACTAAAGGAAAGCATATGACATGCATTTAAAGGGGGATAAAAAATGCTGTTTAAAACCAAAAATGCTAGCTAAAACTATAAAACTCAGAAGAAAACATAACGTATAACTTTTCACGAGTTTGGATTAGAAAATGATTTCTTAGATATGATACCAAAAGCATAAGCACCCAAAGAAAAAAAATAAACTGGACTTCATCAAAATCAAAAACTTTTGTGCTTCAAAGGATACTCTCAAGATTGAAAAGACAACCCAAAGAATGGGAGAAAATATTTGCAAATCACGTCTGATAAGGGGTTTGTATCCAGAATATATACATAAATCTTACTACTCAACACTAAAAAGACAAATAAAAATGGACAAAAGATTTGAACAGACCTTTCCAAAAAGATTATTGGCAAACAGCTAATAAGTACATGAAAAGATGCTCAACACCATTAGTCATTAGGGGAATGCAAATCAAAACCACATTCAGACACCACTTCACAATCACTACAATGGCTGTAGTAAAAAAGACAGACAATAACAAGTGTTGGTGAGGATGTAGAGAAATTGAAACCCTCACACAGTACTGGTGGGAACACAAAATGGTTCAGCTGTGGTTGAAAAGACACAGTTCTAAAGAGTTAAACACAGAGTTAACCTATGACCTAGCAATTTCATTCCTACACATATACTCAAAAGAAATGAAACTATGGGTCCACACAAAACCTACACAAATTCCATGGCAGCATCATTCACAATAGCCAAAAAGTGGAAACAACCCAAATGTCCAACAACAGATGAATAAACAATATGTGGTGTATCCACACAAAACTGGCCCTGCTACCTCTCTGACCTCATTGCCTAGGACGCCAGACACACTGGACTCCTGGTGATTCCTTGAACAAGCCCACCTCAGAGCCTCAGGCCCCCAGTGTGGTGTGTAGGGGACCCTCGGGGGACACAGCTCAGCTGAGAGCCTGCAGGGACTCTAAGGAGGGGTGGGGTGGCCACTCCACTGGGAGGACCACAGGCCCTAACAAGGCATCCAGTGCTAGCTCTTCCCTACGCCCAGAACATTCTTGCCACAGACAGCTGCCTGGATGGCTCTCTTACCCCACAAGTCTCTGTCCAAATATCACCTCCTCAGAGAAGCCTCCCCTAACTGCCCTACATAAAACAGCATGTCCTTATCACTCCCTATCCCATTTACACTCTTAATTTTTCTTCCTGGCTCTTATTACTACCTGATATTATATACTGGAGATATGGCATGATATTATACATATTAGGATAGGATAGTGTAATATACACATGTATTGCCACTTATCACTACTCAATATCTGTGTGTAAGAGGAATCAAGGGAGGATCAATCAGCCCACAGCTGGGTCCTCTTTTATACATAAGTACTACTCAAGATTCCTTATCCTCTGCTTTCCAGAACATTGTTTTTATCTAGAGGGGATCCAATCTTAACATATAAGTTGGAGATATGATTCAAGTACAGTAAGTCCCCTACACACAAACCTTCAAGTTGCTCTCAAAGTTGCGAACATGCGTGCCAGCCCCTGTACGCAGGCTGTTGTACTGTACTATTTTACTTTTCAAGGTACTGTACTGTAGGATTAAAAGTGTTTTCTTTGTTCTTTGTGTTTGTTTTTTATGTATGTATTATTTGTGTGAAAAGTATTATAAGCCTATTACGGTACAGTACTATATAGCCGATTGTGTTAGTTGGGTACCTAGGCTAACTTTGTTGGACTTAACGAACAAACTGGACTTAGGAATGCACACTCGGAACGGAACTCATTTGTATGTAGGGGACTTACTGTATATATTTTGTAAACAGGGCAGTAATAAGCAGCAAGTAAAATTCACACCTGAAAAAAGATTCAGATGTACCTTTGAGAGGAAAGAAACTGTGGCATTCCTTCAGAAGAATAAAGTGGGTGTGCCTTTAAGGGAGTAAAACATTTAAGGGACTTTTGTTAGTTGAGTTTGTAACTTTAATAACACATGACAAGAAGGTCTTACGGTTATGGAGGGGCTGGTTCCCCTCATCAGTGTCGTGAGGCACAAGCCAAACATCTGTGATATGTTCCACCTTCCGCCCTTCTCCTCATGTGTGCCACTGAGTAGGGTGTCTGGCCCGGAGGGGTGGATTTGGGGGCACCGGGGGGAAGCCAGTGTGGGTGTTCGCTTGTTTTCCACCTGTCTCTCCCCGAGGAATGCCAGGTCCTTGCTGTAGTTCTCCATGCCTCCCAGGAAGGCATTTCTCCCCACTCTCACCTGGTCCCCTCTGCAGTGCCTGCCATGGTGTAACTGCAGCCCAGTGGCTCCATGGGAATTGGCAATCAGTTTGTACATCCACGGAGTGGGACTGGCTCTCACTGCAGCAACGCAAAAGGGCAGGTTACTCTGCAGGTTTGGACATCCAGAGCAAGATGTTCTTAGCCAGGCAACAGTTTGAAAGTCAGATTTTGCCTAAAGAGAATTGTCTAAGTTCTTTTTTCTGCTCCTTTATTAAGAGGGGTCACTGGAGTCACTAAGGGGGGGGGGGGGGGGCGTCAGATAGGAAAGGGAGCTGGAAGCACCTGCCCCCATTAGCTCCATGACAGAGGGGAGCAAAGAAGGTGGGCAGCCAGACGGGTGTCCAATAAAGAGCATCAGGGATCCAGGTCACACAAGAGCAACCAGCATCTGGGCAACCAGCTTACCAGGGAGAAAAGGACAATCAGAGCAAACACCATATGCATAACATACATATTCGCACATGCCACACACACACACACACACACACACACACACACACACACACACACACACACACACACACTAGCTTAAGGAACAGATATATCACCAAGCTGAGTCTTAAACTGTCTGGGATAAGATGGTTACTGTGACCAGGCATAATAACTTTACAAGACTTTCATAAAACTGCTCCAGTTTCCTGCCATTCCAAATGGAAACTATTTGTTTATTTGAGTAGTTTTAAGTTGGAAATTGCTTGTATCATACAAAGCCTGGAGGGCCAAAGCAGCTTACACTCTCTGTCTCCCCTTTTCAGTCATGTTAAAAGCAGGGTGTACTTTGCTTGTAGTGAGAAATTTGACAAAATCTCTGATAAGATCCTCCTACCCCGAAGGCAGCTGTGAGGTCCAGATGAAGTACAGGGAGGGGGATTTACAGTTGAACAACTAAATTCCAAAAGTACTGAGTAATGGTTAGTTGTCAACGTGGAGGGAAGATTCTGTTCCTTATTCCTATCCAGTCTAACATTTAAAGACTACCCTCACCACCCCCCGCCCAGAAAAGTCTGGATCAAGACCCAGGAGGTATGATCACCCAAATAGCACGTGACACAAGCCGAGAGAGGGCTCACAGGCAGACAAGAGAATGAGGTGCTTTAAAAGTTCTGTATGGGTTCAAGAAAGGTGAAGGAAGGAAGGAAAGACAGAGTACGGGGCGGGGGGGAAGAGAAAAAAATAATAAAAAATGTGAAATGTACAGGGATAAATGAAAATACCACACATTTGTTTAAAAATAATAATCAAGTACTCAAGCACAAGAGTGGGAGTGGGCTTGAAGAGCAGTTCTCTGGGGAAAGCCTGTGGTTTAGATGACCCCAAGGGAGGGCTCCCTTAACAGAATTGCAAGGAGGCCTGTTTCAGAGGATCTGTTATCAGAAAACACCTGCTCCAGGGAAACCGCGGCCTGTAGGCCTAAACATTTGCTCACCAAGGTGCAAGGCCGAGCACAGAGCACGCAGACCCAGAGGCCAGGGTGAGGGACCTGCAACCACGTTCTGTGACAAGACAAAGGGGAAGAAAGTGGGGGATGCCTAGTAGGAAACGGCTTGACCTGGGGAGTTGGAAGACCTAGTCCTGGTGCTGCCACCACTTACAAGGGAGACGGCCCTAGACAGACATGGAGCTGTCCCAGACCCCAGCCAGCCTCCTTGTAGTCAGGCAAGGCCTGACACATCACTGATGTGTCTCCCAGGATCCAAGAGGACCCATATCATCCTCTGGATCAGCCATCAGGAAGGCTGATCCAGAGGATGGGACCCACGGTGGGACCCAGGCTGTCTCTAGGAGGGCTGCAGCACACAGCAGCCGTCCGAGAATCGATGAGAGAAAGGTCTCAGAAGGCAGGCCGTGCTTGATATGAGGAAGGAACCTTCCTAACAAGTCAAGCTGCCTTCCAAGGATATGTACTTTCTGTAGGCAGAACTGTTCAGGCAGATGCAAAGATACAGGGGCCAACTTGCCAGAGATCTTACAGATGCAATTCCTGATCGAGTAGGATTTGTGGATGACAGCGTCTCTGAGATTCCTTCCCATCTCAAGATTCAACAGCATCATATTATTGGTGGGTGTGTGTGTGTGTCTGAGAAAAATTAAGTACTCATGAAACAAAAAAGTCCATCAAAGGTGCACTTGCTATGTACCAAGAATTTACAGGACGATGTTAGTAAATTTAACCTTCAGGTCTTGGTTTGCAGAATATCTTCAACATGTCATTTTACTGATGTTTGCATAAGCTCCTCAATCCACTCACCTGTTAATTATTCTTCTATGGACAATCTTTAAAATTATAATTCTCTCTGCACAGTCTTTTAGGAACTCTGACATTCGTTGTTTTAAAACTGGTTTCATTTCATGTTTTGCAATTGCCTTGAGGTGATCCCACGAAGCTTTGCATCGTCTCTCCATCTGACATAAATTATCCTGAAGTTGATCAAAGTCAACCTGAAAATCAGAGAGAGAACATTACCAAATGCAGTGAAATAACCGGACATCAACCTGACCCAGGAAACCGAACTGCCTCTGGGAAGAAACAAACATCAAAACCCAATTTACATCTTGAAATACAAACATATTTATGGCCTAAAAATTATCCACATGTCTTGACATCAAATTATTTAGTGATAAAACTTCTCCAAATGAACTCAACGCAGTGTCACCTTTTTTTTTTTTTTTTGCCGTATTTGGAAAGAAATCTTAAGAAAGTCTTTGGGAACTGTAAATTAAAACATGATATCAAGGAATCTAGTACAAGATGAACTGAGCAGATATCTCATAAAATTTTTCAGAGCTCTCTTTTTCTTTAGATATTTCACTTGAGGTTGGAGGAATGCACCATAGTCCTACATGGATGGCCTTGATATGCTGGGGCCAGTTAAGGGGCAGCCAGAGCTTCTCTTCACCATGATCATTTTTACATTGTGTGACAAATTATTTATCCATTCATTCTCTCATTCAAACAACACTCAGGGAAAAACCAGTGCATGCCGGTCCCCCTCCCAGGTATGAAGAAGACAAAGATCAATGCATAAAGAGACCAACTTGCTGTTCCCAAGGAGGCTCATAGTACAGACAGGTGGTCACCGAGCTCTGAGTATGTACAGAACCCACCAGGCCTCTGTGTCTGGGTGAGTATCGGGGTGTGTGGTCCATCCCATCTGCCAGCAGATGCAAACCACGTGTGCAAAGAACAGATGTGACAGAACATTCACTTTGCTCTTCAGGGAAGTGGGACCAACTTAGATTGACTAAAGCGGACTGAGATGAAGCTTTCTAAAAGAATGCTTTGATGGAATTTCTAGACTAAAAATTATGGGAATCAGAGAGTTAGCCGTGAAATAATACACTTGAGGGTATTTAATGGAGGGAGATGTGAGATAGGGGAAAGAAACTGAAAAGACCAGGAGGGGAGGAAGAAATAGATAAACTGGTGAGCTGAAGGGAGGGAACTGAGGTGGATGGAGAGTGAGAGATGGTGGGAAAGGGCGAGAGCCTGGCAAACAAAGGTCAGGAGGAGAAAGAGAAGGTGGGGAGAGGTAAGCCGCCATCGCTTAGATGCCGTGACTGTGGTCACCAGAGCAAGGCTTGGAGGCAAGTGCCCAAGGGGACTGGCTGGAGTGACCTCAGACCTCCAGCCCCACCCTGAGAAAGACAATGGAGGAGGCCAAGTCGGAGGTTTGATGCCAGTTGTAAGAGGTCTAATCATAGCTTCGCCATCTGTCCTCATTTGCATCTAGCAGCAACCTTGATCCGCAATATCTGTAATAACTTTAATAAGTGTAGTAACTTCAGTTCAGCTCGGAATGTACTGAGCAGCTTGGTACAGTCTAACCAGGTGACGCCTGCCCAGCACTGCAGTGGACACAGAGCGGTCGGGCAGAAACCACCTTAGAGATGGTTTTCAGGGAAGAGAATCCACTGTGAGCCTTTAAAGGTAGTGGCAGAAAAGAGTGACCTCACTGCCAATGGAAACCAGGTGGAGAGCCTTTGACCGAAAGGTGTTTGAGGGTGGAGCTTAATGTAGCATCTTTTGAGGAGACCTAGAAGGCTGCCTCAGCTGGCTGTCTCCTGGGGCTGACGAAACCACCATGATCTGAGTCTTCACAGTTACTTCATGGCCTCAGATTCTGTAACTGGCCCCACTTCATGGGGGAGAAACTGTTGCACAGAAAGGTTAAGGAACTTGTGAGAGGCCACACAGCTGGTTAGTGGTAGAGCTGGGATTTGAACCCACATCCCTCTGGCTCCAGAGTCTAAGTTCTCAACCGTCATGCCTTAAGCCTAGGTTTGATCCTAAAAAAATCCACCCCAGGGAGAGAGCTGGCCTGGCCTTCTGTTGTGAGAAAGAAGTCCTCACCAGGAAGCCCTCTCCTGAGGACTGCTCCACATGGGCCACCTTCCGTGTGTAGGAGGACATGGAACTGTGCTGTGAGGTAGTCAAGTCTTATCAAGTTAGTCTGGGGTGGAGTGGGCCAACTCAGGGACGAGAGCCAGGGCTGCAGAAGGGATGGGGCAGGGAAAACACACAGTATGAGTAGTCTGGTGCTTTAACAGCAAATTCTTTGACACTCAGCCCTTCATGAAGTCATGAGGGCATTCAAGGAGCCCTGGGAGAGCCCGACCTGGGAAGGAACTGAGTCCTCTCTCTAAGAACTAACAGATGAGTGAGCCACCATGGGAAAAACTTATCCCAGCCCCAGTCGAGCCTTCGATGACTGCAGCCTCAGCTGACATGTTGACTGAAACCCCAGGAGAGAACCTGAGACAGAACCACTCATGAAATAATGTTTCCTATTGCCAAAATTCATATGTTGAAGTCCCAACTCCCAGTACCTCAGAATGTGTCCTAATCGGGAAATAGGGTCATTATAGATGTAATTAATTAAGTTAGGATGAGGTTGCAATGGAGTAGGGTGGATCCCAATCCAATATGACTGGTATCCTTATAAGAAGGGGAAATGTGGACATAGACACACAAGGAGAACACCATGTGAAGATGAAGGCAGAGATGGGGGTTATTTCCAGCAAACCATCAGAAGCCAGGAGAGAGACATGGCACAGATTTCTCCCTCAAGAGAAACTGACCTGGCCAACACCTTGATATCAGACTCCTGGCCTCCAGAACTGGGGAACAAATTATTTCTGTTTTTCTAAGCTACCTAGTTTGTGGTACTTTGTTACAACAACCCTAGGAAACTAATACATTATCCTGACCCACTAGCTTTTGGAGTGATCTGTCACACAGCTGTAGATAACTAATACATGCAGGTAAAAATGTAAGGAAGAAGAGCCTACACGGTCACCTGCCTCCACTCCTGGAGCCGTGGGGTCAAGTCAGTGATCACACTTCACTGTCGCTCTCTGAAAGCTAACGTGACTTGTCAGCACTCTGCACAAGCCTGTAAGTACCCCCCCGCTGCCCCTCCAGGAGCAGCCAGAGCTATGCCCACCTCCACTCATTTCCACCAGCCCCTGGTGGGACAGTTTTCTTCCAGATGCCAAAGTAACCTGCTCTTCGTGGGTTGCAGTGATGACACCCAAAGTGACACACCAGGGGACGGAATGAACGCAGCTGGGGCTGGGGGTCCTTGAAGCTGATTTTGTACCTGTCTACACATAAGAGCCCCTCAAAGCACCCCAGAACTTTGGGAGTAAAGGCTGAGAAGTGGTGGTAGATGCCCTCTTGGCATCCTGTTGTAAGTCACATGGGCCTGGGTCAATAGTCATCCTTCGTAATTGCCGAGGTTAATGGGGAGAAGCTACCTGCAGGTCTGGCTTGTGTAGCCAGTCTTTAGGCAAGGAAAGGCCTGATACTGAGGGGGCCCAGGGCAGTCACTGGGGGCCAGCCTGGTGTCAGGGCCCCTAGGCCAGGGCGACTTTCATCAAAAGCAGGCTCCACCCAACAGAAGGCCCTGGAAAGAACAAAGGACTACTGATTTGTAAAAAGGGAACTGATTCGTTCTGGAAACAGGACCAAATGAAGGGGATCCAGAAGCCCTGTCTCAAGAATTATAGGCAGACTCTATCTCAAGAATTATTACTAATAAACTGTCTTCTGAGAAGGTGCTCATGGGGCACCTAGAAGACCCCCGTTGGGACACTCAGAAGGGCTTTTGGAACACTGAAGTAATATTTCTAAAGACTTCAGAACAGTGCCTGGCACAGAGTACAGACAGAGAGAGCGTCTGTGAAACAGAAAAGTCTGTCCACTCTCAGAGCTGCAGGATCGCTGGCCTTGCCTGTTTCTGCCTCAAGGCAGGGCCACCGTCAGGCTGGCTCAGGGCGCCCAGCTCAGTGGACCTGGCAGCTGCTGGCCTGAGACAGGTGAAGGAGGGTCCCAGGCCCCAGGTCTCCACAAGCCAGCTCTGTGGGAGAAGGCAGAGAGAGGGAAAGCTCCCTGAAGGGGAACCTAGCAAAGCCCTTTCCCGCCTCTGCCCACCACAGTCTCTCCTGTGTTCATCGCTAGATTCCAATGTGTCTCAGAGCTAAACGCTGTTCTGCTTTCAGCTCCCCATCCGGGTTGTACTTCTGGGAGTTTCTTCCACACTGACCTGGCCCTACTGAAGCCCATCCCTGTGAGTTCCCTGTTGCTTCCAAGACCCTTACATCTCCCAGTTCTGTTGTGTTTGGGATCCCTCTGGGGTTGTTTGGCCCCAGGGATGCCCCTGCAGCGGGGGCAGCTGGCTATCCAGCTCTTACAACTAAACCATAAGCTCATGAAGATTTTAACTCTGCACTAAGCTTAAGTTTGCAGCTGAGGGGCCAATGCTCTACGCTGTTTATAGCCCTATAAAACTGTTCCCTCGGTGTAAGATCACAGGCAGGGCCAATCTGTAGGGGTCAGGGGGCCAGGCGTGACCTTAGTTTCCTGGCTCCGCACCTCACTGCAGGGTCCTATGGAAGTTTGAGGAGGAGGCCAATTGCATCTTGTGCACATTTTTGCCCACCTAAAACCAGCTGGGTGATTTCACTGCTCTGGAGAAGCCAGCCTGGTGAGTAACGCAGCTGAACAGGGGACGCCAGGGTTAGGACTGACTGGGATGGCAGGCTTGCTTCACATACCTCAGCAGGAAGGAATCTGACAGAGAACCAGAGATGGGAAAATGATCTCAAAAGTCCATCAGACATGGCACGAGACGAGTTTTATTCACAAACTCTAGAGCAGGGCTGCAAGCGTCACTTGGGCGTTTTAGTTAACAGAGCCCGTGCTCCGCAGAGATGGTTGATGCAGAGCCAGCCTCTGGGGACAGGCACGCACGCTCTTCCGAGCCCCGGACATACCTTGGCTGACCTGGTGACGGCCCCAATCTCTGAGTACAGATCAGAGCTGTCCGGGAAGTTTTCCACCACCATGGTGCACACGTGGTGGAGAAGTGACTGCTTGTGCACGGTGTCTTTGACTTCTGGAACCTTCTCGAGGTAGCTTAACTCAAACGCTTTGGCCTGTTTGGGGAACGTTCAATAAAAGACAGGAAGAACAAGTTTCACGCAGGTTCTCAGAAAGGCCCAAATGGTTTTAGAATCAATGCTCTCTTGAAGGGGCCCAATATTTAGTTCCTCTGTGAGTGAAGCATCTCAGGCCACACGCTCCATCATCCTTATCTGATCACACAGGGACCAGCCACCCTGAGAGCAAAATGAGCCTCCAGTCCTTTCCCACCACGGCCATCAGCCACGGACTACCCCAGGGCTCTGCTCCTAAATCAGGGTGCTGGGATGGGGCGAAGGGGGCGGGGTCTCTGCCATGTAGGTATCTACAACTTCCCTAATCCCTTCCCTGTTGCTTTTCTACTTCCTGGCCGAAGATAGACCATTAAAACAAACAAAAAGAAGTTTGTTTATAATGTGTATGAGTACAAATATTTAAGTGATAAGCTCAGGGGAGAAAAGAGAAAAAGAAAAAAACAGGGTAGAAGAAAATAGCTCCAAAGTCAATTTTGGGAGGAGCCAAGCTTCACAAGGAATAAAGTGCTTATTTTTCTAAGTTTTCTTATTTATAGCAAGATACAGGCTTGAATAAATAGGCCCTGATATTTTAAGGACAAAACTTCTAGATTTTCACCAAAAAACACAAAAACTGTTTGTTCAATTGTGCTTTGGAGGACCAGAGGTACGACCTCCACTGGCAAGTGAAGGGCAGGGATTTTGTGAAGAAAGGGATGGGAAAGACTTACATTAGTTCCATTTAGAAAGTTCCCAATGGCTAAGAGAGTAGACAGGATAAAGCCCAAGGTTTTATTGTTCTCCAACTGGTCTATTCCTTCCTTCAGGTCCAAAAGTGGTTCTGCCACTTCCTTTCAATTAAAAAAAAGTTAGAAGAAGGTGATAGAGAGGGTAAATTTTGGTTTTACTTTGTTCTTTTTAATTTTTGTACAAGGTCATTACCAGTGGAGTTCTCCCAGTATAAGCCAATCCCATGTGATGGGCACATGCTCCCAGGTGTGGAAAAGAGCAGAAGGGCAGCAGGAGAGTCTAGCCCCAAAGTCTCCTCAGTGCAGACCAACTGGGTACCTGTGGCTCACAGGAGCTTGGTTGGGTGATATCTGCTCTGTCATCCCCTGTTCCTTCCCATCTCCAAAGTTCAAGCAGGACCCTCAGGTTATACTCTCCTCCCATTCTCTCTTCTGACCATGGTTGATGTCTATGAAACTCTTCACCTGCAGGTTCCTTCAGCATCGGAACCAGTCTTCCTCTTTGCCTTTCTCTTCCCAGGCAGATGACACTGGAAACTGTGGCCTCATTGTCCCTGGACCCAGGTCTCCTAACCTCCCCTCTAGGCACTCTGTGGCTGGCCACCTCTTGGCCTGGGTTACTTTCTAGAAGGCCATCGTCCTCATTACTCCAACTTTCTTCAAAACTCCCACTCTCTCAGGTGTCTAGCCTGCCCTGTGGCCTCATGGCCTCAGTCTCCCCTTCCCTCTGTCTTGTTGTTCTGTAACCACCCCCCACCTCAGCGTCCTCACTGAGGCTCTCCCCAAGCATGGACCCCAAAGCCAGAAGCTTCAGCTTCATTCTCTCCAGCCTCGCTTCTGCTAGGCAGGCCCTCCCAGCCCCTGGCCAAGGCTGACTCGATGACCTGTTTTCTCCCTGAAGTTACCTCACTTTTCTCCAGAAAATCATCTGAACATGCTGACTAGTTCTGCAACCACATCACCCTAGCAGTTCTAGGATTCTTCAGCCCTGCCTGATTCTCAAATGGAGTCAAATATAGCAGTTTCCTCCTGAAGCAGCCTTAGCCCACTGCTACCTGCCTGGCCCTCAGAAAGGACCGTGCTCCCTCCTTTGCGGAAAGAGGAAGACCACACAGCCTCTCCACTTCCTCCGGGCACTTGCTCTCAGTCAAGCTCACCTCCAGCTCACCATCCCTCCCTCCCTTGTCCTCTCCATGGTTCCTTCTTCTCAGCCTGCAAAAAATACTCACCTCTCACCCATCCGGAGAGGACACCTGCTTCTTCCACTTTCTACTCGGGATGAGTGTTCCCATGCCTTCACTTTCCTTCTACTCTCCTCTCAACCTCTTGCAATCTGTTCATCTCGGATTTTCTACTGTGATACTCTCTCAAAGGGACCCAGTGACCTGCTGGTTGCCACAGTCAATGGCAGTGAGGTGACCATCATCAGCTAGAAGGATTGCAAGTCACTTCCCATATTGTGTCTTTCTGTATTGTCTAAATTTTCTACAGTGAGCATACAGAGTCAGAAAAACATTTGATTGTTGTTTTTTTTAAACAGTCAAGTACCTGAGGCTGGTGCCAGACAGACACTTGAGAATAAGCCCTCACTGGTAGGCTGCTCATCACTCGGTGTAGACATGACCCCATCACGATCAAACCCTCACGCTTCAAACCCTGTCTCAGGAATGACACTTCACTATGTTCACCGTTAAAAAAATGAACGTTCTCAACTCTGGGGACATAGGACTGGCTGCCTCTCTTCCTAAGTGCTTACCTTTTCTGTAGTTTCATAATCCATTTTGAACGCCCAGAGGTGGAGCCGAGCTGAGAGCTCGCTGATGGAGCACAGTGTAAGGAGGAACTGCTCTGCACTGCCCAGGGGCACCTCAGGGTTGGCCAGCTGCGCTTCCTGGATTTTCTGCTTCTCTTCTTCAGTGGGAATCATGGTTAGAATTTTCTGGAAAGATGGAATGATACAGTATATTCTTAGTGATGGACCCCTCGATGTTTCCAAATTCATATGGTAACTTCCCAACCAGGTAGTAGAGATGTTCTGCTGTCAGTGCTCTTATCATATACAGCTGTTATATACCAAATAAACTTTAGAGTGGAAAAGCCCTACGTAGCATCTAAATTTACATTCATTTGTTTTAACATTCTTTCTCTTTCTTTAAATCTCCCGTTCCATAAGCAACTTGCCCTAAATTTCCTGGTCTTGTACATGAAGGACATTCTAGGCAAGAAAGGGATGGGGGGGTGAGAGAAAGGTGAAAGAATAAGATAGAAGGTTAGAGAACAGCTCCCTGTTCCCTAAGAAATGGAGTAAAATGTGTTAAGCATATAATCTTCTCACAGATTAATTTAAGAGCTTACAAAAATAAATCATTTACCAAGAGCTCAGACTAACTTTTGTACATGGGCCATATTATAACTTTAATTGTTTTAAATATTTCAAGTATATTTCAAATTTTATATAGAAATGAAAACATCTTAACATCAGGCTCAGCTCAAGTCTGACTGAGGGAAAAATGATGATGGTACTTATAAAGAGCAATACTTACCTACTAAAGGAAAGAGTATCACTTTCTGCTTTCATTTGTTTCTGGTAAAAGTCAATTGTGGAAGGCAGAGGGAGCAAACAGGCATCAGAAGGATTATGACTCTTATAAGTTCAAATTCCTTAGTGATTACATTTTAAAAGAAGGTAAAAATTCCCACCATGTGACATTTAACATACAACATTACGAAAGAGGAGGTGTCATTATTTTTCTCTCATTTATCAAATGAGAGTATCAAAGCAAAGAAATACACATTGTGCCATACTTTTCGGTAACTTATGTTAATTCATTAATTCTAAGTGGCTTTGGTTACTGCTCTACAATAGCAACCATCTGGATAAAGTGCAGGAAGGAGTTCCGGTTCTGGGGGAGATAGAGTAAGCAATACTCTGCCTGTCCCACTAAATGCAACTATACACCCTGGACAGCAGGCACGGAGCAGCTACTTGAAGACTTTTTAAAAAAGAAATAGTGGCAGGTGGATTGAGGAAGAAGACCAGAACTGAAAGCTCAACTGAACTGGTAATGAGTTGACCATTTTTCCTCTGGTGTTCCCTAGCCTGGGCTCAGGCAGCCCAAAAATCTGGAAGAGGGTATCATGTGCAGACAGAGAGAACGCCAGGGGAGCCCTCTAGTTCTGACTCGAGGTGTGGGAAAGGGTCTCCTAGCGGTGGCAGCAAGGTTGGCAGGTCCTAAAACTCAGATCAAGGGAACATTCCTCTCCAGTCAGTGGAGCTGTGGTCCCAAGAGGTGGGGCAAACCCCTTATGCTTTTCTTTTCTATCTTCTCTCTGCTTGGCCCCAGACATGGGCACAGTCATAGCAAGTGCATGGTAAAGTGAGGTAACTAAAGACCCAGCTTTCACTGGAGGACTAAAAAGGAAGGCCCCAGAAAACCAGAAAGCAGTGGGGAGGTCATGAAACATGAAGAGCCTGCAAAACAAGGGCACAAAGCTGTTTAAGAACTTCTGAGCTTCTCCTTGAGCTGTTCGTGTGTGAATCTGACCTTCAAAAGCACATTAAAGACTTTGAGACCTGAACTGGTCTTTGAAAACTTTGAAAACTGAGCTGACGTTGGAACAACAGTCCACAGAAGGTGGGTCAGAATCTGTGGCTTGAACTCCAACAAGTGATGGAACAATTCTTAATTCTTTTTATGAAACCAGAATGATCCTGATACAAAAACCAGACAAAGTTAATCTAGTCGAGAAAAGAAAACTACATACCAATACCCTGATGAATCAGATGCAAAAATCCTTAACAAAATATTTTAAAGTATATAAATAAATGCCAATATATTAAGATATATAAATCTATTGCTAAATTTCATATAGCAATATATTTTAAAATAGCCACAAGGTTAGTTCAATATGAAAAAAATTAATCAATGCAATTAATCTACCAGATTAACAGTGTGAACAAGAAAATTCACACAGTCATTTCAATTGACTCAAAAAAGTTTTGATAAAATTCAATTTCCATTCATGACAAAAAAATCTCAGCAACCCAGTAATAGAAGGCATTTCCCCCACCTGATAAGATACATTTATAAAAAAAAAAAACCTGCAGCTCATTTCATACTTAATGGTGACAGAGAGAATGCTTTCCCTCTAAGAATGGGAACAAGACAGGGTGTCCACTCTCACCATTCCTATTTAACATTGTGTGGAAATCCTAGCCAGGTATATAAAATTTTAAAAATACATACAGATTGGAAAGGAAAAGATAAAACTCTTCCTGTCACAGATGGTATAATTGTCTACATAGGAAATTTTGAGGAATCTACAAAAATCTTATGAAACAATGAGTTAAACAATGTTGCATAATATAAGGTCAATATACAAAAAATCCATTTTATTTCTATATATTACTAATGAGCAATTACAAACTGAAATTTAAAAAAAATGCTATTTACAATGAAATACTTAGGTATGAATCTAACAAAGCACGTGTAGGATCTGCATTTGGAAAGTAGAAAATGCTGATGAAAGCAATCTAATCGTCTAAAGACGATCTAAATGAAAAGAGAAGGAACAGTGTTCACAGACTGAAGGATTCAACATAGTCAAGATGCTAGTCTTCCCAAAATTGATGTATAAATTTAACTCAATTCCAATCCAAATAGCATGATTTTTTGTGGATATAGACAAGCTGATTCTAAAAATTATATGGTAAGGCAGAGGACCAAAACAGTCAAACCAAAATAATTTTGAAAAAGAATACCCTTGGAGGAGTCATACCACTTGACTTTAAGACCTACAATAAAGCTGCGGTATTAAGACAGTGTGGCATGGGCTAAATGATAGATACAGAGACCAGTGGGACAAAATGGGGCACCCAGAAATAGACTACACAAATATGGCCCAGTGATTCTGACAAAGGTATGAAGGCAGTTCAGTGGACAAATGGTAGTGTTTTCAACAAATGGTGTTGGATGGACCAACTGGAATCCATATGCAAAAAGTGAACCTCAACTTAAACCTTCCACCTTCTACATAAGTTAACTCAAAGGGGATCACAGATCTAAAAGTAAGAAGCAACACTACAAAACTTTTAGAAGGAAACAGAGGAGAAAATTTTTGTGACACAGGTTATGCAGTGAACTTCTAGACATGATACAAAAAAAGAATAGGTTGATAAATTAACCTTCATCCAAATTAAACACTTTTTCTCTGTGAAAGACACTGTTAAGAGAATGAAGAGACAAGTTACAGTTCCTCAAAAGATTAAACATAGAGTTATCACATGACCCAGCAATTCTGTTTGTATTTACCCTAGAAAAATTAAAACAGTATTCACACAAAAACTTGTACGTGAGTATTCGTAGTAGCTTTATTCATAACTGCTATGAACTGGACCAAGCTAAATATTCTTCAATGGGTGAATATTTATATTTACAAACAGCCAGTGGTACATCCCTACAATGCGATGATACTCAGCAATAAAAAGGGACCAACTATAGATACAAACTGCGACTTGGATGAATCTCAGAGGCATCGATCATGCTGAGTGAAAGAAGCCAATCTCAAAAGGTGACTCGCTGTATGATTCCTTGTGTATGACATTCTCGGAAAGACAAAACCATAGTGATGAGAATCAATCAGTCATTAACAGGGGCGAGGGGTGGGTTAAGGGTGTGACTAGAAAGGGACAGCACAAGAGCTTTTTGGGGAGATGGGACTGCTTTGAATTTTGACTACAGTGGTCATTGCGTGAATTTATATATGTTTTAAAACTCAATAGACCTGGACCCCCGCCAAAAGTCAACTTTACTCTATATTAATTTAAAAAAAAAAAAAGCCAAAATAAAAGACTGGACACTTGACACCAGAATCAGCAAACATGCAGATATCTACATGATTGTGCCTTAGGATGTATCTGGGTGGGGCAGTAGTTGTCCTAGGCTTCTGAAAGTGTTATCAGGGAGGGTTGTCTCAGGAGTTTATCAGAAGCCAGTGACAACAAACTGTATTGAAGACCTCTTTTGGAATGTGGTCAGAGTGAGGTCACAGGTGGTGAGCCCTAGATACCTCTTCTTCCAACATCCTCTTCATCACGGCCCCAAACACAGATTATGTGGGTGGAATGGAGCATCAGGGAGACGTTCAGTGACGATCCTCCTTGTTCTCCCACAGGCTGATGCTACTGATTCCACCTGTCCACACAGATGGCATTTAAGAAGGACCAAAACAACCCAAGCAGATGTCACTTCTTCCAAAACACCCAGCATTTGAACTCAACTGGTTTTCAAAAGAAAAACTTAACTAAGAATTTGTATTTTAATTTTCTTAATGCTCAAATTGTTTTAAGCATGTACAAGAATTCCGAAATATAAAGTTGTCAACGCTTTTCCCCCTTCTTCAGAAGGCATTTTCCTGGGATGATTTTTGTTTGCTTTTTTCCTTTGGGAAAGTAATCAAACACTCTTTTGTTTTTCCTTTCTCTAATTTAAACCATTTGTTCACTACTGAAGATTTATGAGGTTACCATCTGCCAGTTTATTTTACTTCTTTTTTACACATCACTGACAATAAAAATAGCCGTAAGACGGGGACAGGAGGTCAACGCTACCTCCTATGAGGTGATGGTCCCTTTTTTCCATGAGCAGATGACAAGGGAATGAGCATACCTTTAATTTGCTCTTTACCATGTCAGTAGATTTACTGATGTTTCTGTGATGACCATTTGGTTTCACAGGGAGAAAAACATCAAACAGGCCCATGACATAATAATCTCAGTGTTTTTTTGCTTTCTTCCAGACAGTGTTTCTCCAGCACTGCTTTAACTATGCTTGCTTTTGTATCTGAAAATCATATTTCAGATGAAAATTCATAAGTCTTACTTATTTTTTACAGACCCAAATGCTTTGGGGTTCGGCCATCGCATTCACTTGCATATGAGACCGTACTAAGTAATTATCATGTCTTGTGAGTTCTTTTTTTTTTTTACCATCCTTATTGTAGTATAATTGTTTTACAATGGTGTGTTAGTTTCTGCTTTATAACAAATTGACTCAGCTATACATATACGTGTATCCCCGTATCTCCTGAGTTCTGAACAGAACCCTGGCTATGACTCCGGATGAGAATCTAACAGCAGAAAGTTGGAGCCTTTATGCAGGGCTTGGATGCAACTTGCAGTCTCATGAGACAATGACATTCTCTTCATGCGCTTCATCTCAGGGAGGGGCTTTTTTTTTTTCTTTTTAGTTAACTTCTCAAGTTTATTTCTTGACAGTATCTTCTTTTGTTCTTATGATTACTCAAGTGAGGCACGTAAGGCAGAAATTATGCACCAAATTTACAGATGAAGACGCAGTGCCTGAAGCTAGGCTGGATAACCAAGGCAGCGCTGGAGAAGCACCCAGGGGCTCCTCCTACTTTCTAGCACCGCCTCCATGCTCATGGCGATTCCACAAACTACCAGTGTGGCTAAGGTGCCCAGTCACTGGGACATTCTCATTCCTGGCACTGTGGACCCACTGATGGGCTCCTGCGCTCAGGCTCACCTGCGCGTGTCCAGCGCTCACTCAGGGGCCCGTGGACGGGGTTCCCAACACAAACTGCTTGAGGAGATACTGTAGCTTTGTACAGGCGGCCAAAGGGAAATTCTGTTTCTAGGATGCTGACTGGCCTGGCAGCCAAGCAGGGCCAAGTTAAATGTCGTTTGGGGCCATTCAATTGTGTTACCCTCTGAGTAAACACAGACTCTAAAAATGAGAAAAGCAAGGAGAAAAATGAAAACCCTTCCTACTTCCATCTGTGATACCTCAGCGATGTTTTACTTGGGAAAATACCATTAATAATACTTAGAGATGCCCCCAAATCATATTCTAAAGTTTAATACTCTTAAGAAAAACTACTTCCTTAATGAAGTTACTTACTCCCATGGGTTTTCATGATGAGCCAGATACAAAACATGGGGTGGACAAACAGGATGTCAGTGAATACATCCTAATCACGTCCAGGTACACAGAGGTTTCGTTTCGAGTGACCCCATTAAGCCGTGGTGCCACGCTACAGGGCCTGCATCCAAGAAGCAGACGGTTTGGCAAAAGGCCATTTGGGCATAAGCTGGAAATCATATTAGTGAAGATCTGTAAGGACGCAACTTACATCTCTTCTCAGCCCTGACTTAACTCTCGAACAACAAGCCTAGACAATAAGCTTTGGGGGAGTAGCTCTGCACTTGGATGAAGACCATCTCTACCCCTTGGGCCCCTGGGATCAGTGGCCAGAGACAGCAGGTAACAGCTGGGAGGGCCTGGGTTCTGTCTTCCCCACAAGGACTGGTTTCTTCTGGATTCTCAACTACAGCTGACAAGAGTTGAAAATATACACAGTGTCTGGATTTGCCCAGGCAGCTTCAGATGAGGGGTTCTCAATCAGGGTGATTCTGTCCCCAGGGTATATTGATGAAGTCTAAGAGACATTTTTGGTTGTCACCCCTGGATGGGTGCCACTGGCATCTTGTGGGCAGAGGCCAGGGATCCTGAACACCTTACAATGCACAGGGCAGCTCCCACAATAAAGAACTGTTCAGCCCAGCATGGCAATAGTGCCAGTTGATAAACCTTGCTTTCAACAAAAACTGTGGTAAAAATGTGTAACTCCATGTCTCGTGACTATATATGAATTTACCGAGCACTCATGACACAACAAGCTCTCAGGAAGGGTTAGGCAGTGTTTTCTATGGCTGTGTCCTCTCACTGTACCTCATTTCATATGCCAGCTACTCCCAGAGGAAAACCATAGGCAGCGCTGTGATGCGGACTGCGTTGCCTCATGCGTCTTCTCACTCCCCTTTCAGATTCCCTCTTATTCTTTTCGGTGGGTGAGCCCAGGCCCAGACAGCCCACCTGGGCTGGCCGCCGCCAGAGCTGGCCTGTGGATTGCACTTCAGACTCAGGCTCTAGAAATCATATTTCAGCTCGACCTCTTACTGGCTTGTGAGCTTGGACACAGACAAACGTTGGAACTCACCCTCTTCATCTTTAAGATGAAGAACATAATAGTATGTACCTCGTAAGGGTCTGGTGAGCATCTGTGTGAAGCACCTACCTGGTGTCTGGCCCACAGGAGGAAACCTAGGAAAGTCAGGTTTAGTGCTGTGCTGCTCCCATATCCGTCATCATTATTGTACCTATCATCATTCCTTCCTGGATTGAAAAAAACAGTCAGAAAAGGAAAAAATAATTTGATTCATTCTAAAATCTAACTAACTTATTGTATCTGAAACTCTCCCCACCCAGGGAGACTGACATTTCAGGAAAGAAAAAAGGCAAAACCAAAGGCATCCATCTCTCCTGATGGACTTTCAAGTTCTCATGGCAATAAGAGGAAATATTTTTAAAAGGGGAAGTTGTCATTTTTTCCTTCAATCAAGCTGGCCCTGGCTGCATTTGGAGACTATGTACGAATCTGAGGCTTTTGCAGTCTTTAAAAGATCCTGTGAAGTAAACAGGATGGCCAGAACGTGCGCTAGGGCCTACTACTCTGTCTGTCCTATGTGAGAGACACTTTGCACTTGGTTCGTCCCGCTTGGCAGCTCCCACCTGCCCAATGCCCTTCTCTCTTGCTGCTCTGTGCGTCCCAGGGTGGAGGTCCCTCACACTGAGGCTGGGCCTGCTCCCTTCTTTCTCGCTGTCTGGCAGCTGCCTCAGTGTCCCTCTCTGTATTTGCCTACTCTTTGTCACCTGCTCTCTCCTTTCTACACCCTCCCCGGCCTGCCACGTGCCCTCACTCCCTGGCTCTGTTGACCTGCTGTGCTGCATGGCCTGACTCCAGGGCTCGGGCTGCACCTCCTCTCCAGCCAGAGAGAAGTGCCATTTCCCTCATCGTACCTGCTCCTGGCACAGGCTGTGTGTGTGTTTCTCAGGGCAGAGTTGCTTAGGCCTCGTACTGGTTTCCTAGGTTTGCCATAACAAAGCATCACAAACTCAGGGGTTCCTAACAAAGGAAATTTATTCTCTCACCGTTTGAGAGACTAGAAGTCTAGTATCAAGGTGTCGGCAGGGCCATGTTCTTTCTGAAGACTCGAGGGGAGGATCTTTCTTTGCCTTGTCCTCGCTTCTGGTAGTTGCCGGCAGTCCTTCATGTTCCTTGGCTTGTAAACGCTTCCCTCCAATTTCTGCCTCCAGAGCATCACACGGTGCTCTGTTCTGTGTGTCTTCCTGTGTATCCTCTGTGTTCCCATGGCCTTCCCCTCTCTGTGTCTATGTCCAAACTTCTCTCTTCTTAGAAGGATAACAGCCAGTGGAGTAGGACCCACCCTAATCCAGGATGACTTTATCTTAACTTGATCATGTCTGCAAAGACCCTATTTCCAAATAAGGTCACATTCTGGGGTCCTGGGTAGGCATGGATTTTGACGTTTGTACTCAATCCAGTACAAACCTCTGGAACACGGCTTTTCCTGTAGAGGTCTCTGCTTTCCAAAGCACAAAGGCACGGCTGTCCTCCTGGGTTCAGGCATCACTTTGCCCCATGGGCCCCATTGCCCCCTACCACACTCAGGGCTGGAGACGCGTAGGGCACAGCCCCACAGGCCTTCCTCACTTTCAACTCTCCCGCCAAAGCCCGCTCTCCCTCACCGCAGCCAGCCTTCATTGGCTTCCTTCACTCTCGAGGCTTTCGAATAAGACTGGGTATGAAGGGATCTCAAATATAGAGAGCCTTTAAAGGAATCCAGGGCTCTTTGCCAATAGAAGGATGGGGTGGGTGTCACCCAACATCATGAAGCAGTGTCTTCAGATCCCCACTCTGACCCAGTGAGCCTCCAGGCCATCTACCCATCTGTAGGAATCTGTGGGCTGAACCATTGGTTTCACTCACTCTTTCTCTGTTATAAGAACAGGAGATTTAACTTCCTACAGACAGGCACCAGCCCACAGCGAAGGGTGAGCAGGGCCTGGTGGAAGGGCACTGGACCCTGGCAGAGCAGGGGAGCTGTGGCACCAGCTGGGCCGCCTGCCAGCCATGTAGTCACAACCAAGGCACCCAATCTCTCTCCACTTGTGCCACTCAGATTAACAAATGCTGCAGACTCAGTTGGCTTGGGTTTTCCAGCTCATCAAATGAAACCCATCTCTACACACCCCAAAGGGTGCCAAGAGAGAAACAAATCCGCTAACACGGAGTGAGCACGTATGGAAAACCCTACTTTTGAGACTGTTCATTAAACGTATTTGGTTTGAAATGATGTGAAAGAAGGCATCCCAGCCCCACCCCTGTGGAAGTTGTCAAATTCTTCCACATTGAGGTAGGTGGAATGTGGTCAGAAGGAAGTTAGTAAATGAACCAGAGGATCTCTGAATTTCCTAGGCAAAGTGGGGCTTCTTTCCCCCCAGAAGTTAAAAAACAAGATGTGAGGATTATTAACATTATTCAGAATCTGGCTGAGACAGAAAAATGGCAAGCCACCCTGTGGAGAAAGTCACATTGGACACAGTAATGTTTACATATGCAACATATTACAGAACACAAATAACGCTCCACAGAGCTCCCCTTACCTCAATCCCTTCTTTGTTTAAGGCATATTCATCAAAATTCAAAATGGCTATCTTAATCGTTCTTGGAGGGGGCAGTACCGTCAGGCCAATATTAATAGCATTGCTCCTCTTGGAATCCAGGACGATGATCTCCTGCTTTTTTCCATCTGCAGCAGTTTTCTTGTGATAAAATAAGGAGAATCCAAGATTAATGCATCATCTTTGGTCCTCTATTAAAAGCAAACTCACAACTTACTTAGACATGAAAACAAATGCCCTCAGTTTAGCTCAGGGAAGGACTGGCTACCTCTCAGCACAGCAGAGATCAGGGATTAGTTCCAAGAGGCCGCCAAGAGCAGGGCAGCAATGGAACTTCTCGAGTCAGACACGTTACAAAATAAAATTGATTTGCCTTCAATTGGGAAAAATGTGATATTTTGCAAGGAAAAAAAAAAGTTTTTTTTCCATAGAAGCAGTGGAAACAAAACTCAAACCTCTCAGAGTTCCCTTCATGCAGGCTGCAAGGTATCGGAATGTGCCTTGCTTGGCCCTGGAGCGTGTGGTGTGTGCCCAGAGATGGAGAAAGCTGGTCTGCGCACCGAGAAGACAGGAGCCAGAGGGGAATCCGGCATCGCTGGCCAGTCAGCCCTTCTGCATCTCAGGAGCTCCTCTCATCATTCCAACATCCTCCGCCCCAACACCTGAGCACTTCCGCCTCTCCTGCTACACACAGCCATCTGGGCAGCTGCCCAGTGGGTGGGAGAAGAGGAGTGAGGGATAAACTAGCAAAGAGGCCGAGGAGGGGGACCAAGTCCCCACAGAGCCCTGATGTGTGTGGCCTCCCTGCTGGCCTGGCATCCTCGGGGCAGTCTCTGCGGCCAGCCCCGGGCTGGCACACGGCCAGAAGCCAGGAAGGTGTGAGGTGCTGAGCCAATGCTCACCTCTGCCCAGAGCTGTGACAAGGCCCCCAGCCTTCCCCTTCAGCTCTCGGGAAGTCAAGGGCGGCTGGCAACCGGGAGAGGTGGAGGGGGGTCGGCCAGCAAGCTCCCTGTGCTGCACAGCTTCCCTTGAGGCCACAGGGCTGGGAGCATGATGATTTTGATTCATGAAACAAGCCTGGGGTGACGAGGATGGGTAAGACCCGTCCAGCACAGTGATGGGGTGTGCTCACCGTGTGAGGGACCCAGCTGTGGGGTAACTAACTCACCTGGTGGTGGAGGGGGTTAGGGTCTGGAGAAGCTGCCACCTGAGCTGGACCCTCAAGACTGTCTAGGACTAGCCTGGGGCTGGGAGAGAATATAAGGAGAGGAGGAGTGCCTTTGTCTCGCTCCAGGGAACGGCCAGGGATGAAGCTGGAGGTCTGGGGGCCATATGGGGGAGCTCCATGGATCAGCTGCTCAGAAGCCCCCTGCAGGCAGGCCCCAGCTGAGCAGCTGACATGCTCAAGGTTGGCCTCCTGTGCTGAGGCCTCAGCCTCTCCTCTGAGGAAGGGAACCAGGCTGGGCCTGGGAGCAGCTGAGCCGCCCAGGGAAGCTGGTCGCTGTAGCACAGGAGGTTGGGAGCTGGCAAGGAAAGACGGCTGCGGCCCCTTAAGTCCTACTGAGCCCTTCCAAACTCAATTGCTAACATTTTATTTTAGGTCCTTAAATATGCATTTGGGAATAAATTACAATTTCTTCATGAAGAAAATAACCGAAAGCATCCCAGCTGTTTGGCCGCCTGGTAGCCGGGAGGAACAATTCCTGTGGGTGTGCTCGTCGGCTTGGAACTGTGAGCTCCCAGGGACACGCGGCATAAATGCACCCTCACTCTGTAGGGCAAGCTTGTCTTCTATATATTTAAGCAAATAAGCTTATCAGGAGCCCCTGAAATTTAGCTGAAATCCACTTTAAAATACTATTTTGTGTATAGAAGGCTAAGAAGGAACGAGAAAAGGTTTGACAAAATGCTGATTACAGGCAGTGAAGACAGATGTGATGACTTGAGATGCCCACGTTGGGGTGCGGGGTGTCCACCCCTCCAGGTGCTACAGGGAGCCTGTCCAACATCCATTCCCTCTGCCCTGCTCACCAACAGGGACTTGATTTTTTTCAGGCTGGTAATATGTCAGTGAAAACAGCCACCTCCCTGGACCCTTGGCAGGTAAGGCTGGCAGTTTGGGTTTTTGTTTTCCTGATTAAAAAGAGATAGACCCAGTGAGCCATGCCTTTTGCCTTTCTTCCTTCTTCCTGCCTAGAATGTGGATGTGAGGCCCAGAGAGACAGCAGTGAGACATCTCATGAGCATAAGGAATGAAGCCACATGGACGGCAGCATGGAAGATGGAAGAAGCCTGGGACCTGGCATTGGAGAGGCAACTACCCACAGCCAGGCTCCAGCGCAGGAAGCATTTACGGGAAGGCAGGGGTTCCCTGGGAATCATTAGCCCTTAGCCCCCCATCTATAGAGGCCCCGTCATTCTAGGAGCCTGCAGAGATGACTGAGCAGGCCCAGACCAACTGCAGCCTTTGTGCAAATGAGAAAAAGATGCCCACCTCCAGGGAGACACAGCCCCATGGCAAACATCTTGAGAGAGAAGCACCGCTCAGATTTAAGCCCTCCCCCCTCAGCCAGTGTCCACGTGCAGCAAGCAACCCACACAGACTCAGGGGTGGCTCTGAGCCTGAGATGTCCTTGCCCCCATTCTCAGTAGAACTCAGTTCACACCAACGGACACACCCACACCCACACCCACACCCCCCATAAATAGGGAAGAAGCAAGCTGCTGGGCATCCTGAGATAATGGGGAAGCTATCTTCACAAACGACGCTACATGTTTTCAGAGCACTTCCAACCACTTCGCAAAGGAAGGAATAAGAATTAAAGTCATATCTGAAATTGAATTGTTAAATCTCTGGATTTTATCCAAGAGGCATTTTAAATGCTCTTCTTCATAATTAAAACAGACTCCACTGCATGCTACTGACCCCTCAAGTGCCTTGGCGGCTGTCCTGCTCGACACGAGGGGTGGGTCATGCGGGCTTGTCCAACTCTCTCCTCCCCTCCCACAATGAACTGGAGCAGCGCCTGAAAGAACAAGCCAAAGTTCTCCGTGCCCGGAGGCATGCGTCCTGTCTAGGGATTAGCCATCGTCAGTTCTGATCCATTTCAATCCTCTTTCAGGGTCAAAGCCCAGACCAGCAAGAGTGACCTTCACTACGTCCTTCACCTGGTCCTGTGTCTGAGTCACTGTCACCCATCCTCTTCCACAAAGCCTCTCGTGCCCCGTCCTTCATTCCTGCCACCTGCACCCTGAGCCTGACCCCTGGTGCCAGCCTCCCAGGGCAGCCCACCACGGGCCTCCTGCTTCCAGCCTCTTCTCACCCCCAGCCCATTCATCCTACTCTTGCTAAGAGTCTTTCTCAGGCACTCATCTCCTTATTGCATTTCTTTGATCAGACAGTCTGTGACTGTCCATTGTTTGAAATGAGAAAAATAGGAAATTGGTCAATGATAGAAAGAGGAGATAAAGCAGATAAGACACAGTGTTCCCTGTAAAGGAGGTTAGGAAATGTTAAATGACCCTCTAAAGGCATCTGGAAAGGAAGGGCTAAGATGTGATGGGACAAAGGTGGAACAGGGTTGGGAGGATGACAGGAGGTGATACTTCTAGGCAAGAGATGAGAAAGTTGTTTCGCATTTTACTTGAGCCCAGACACACCCCCGAAAACAACACACAAACAAGGAAACAAAACGCCCAAACCTCCTGAAATATCAATACAGGGCCTACTTGAAGGAACTGACAACATTTTCTTGAGAGAAAAAGAAAAAGATGTGCATAAATGAGAAACATCATGTTCCTGGAGAGGAAGCCTCAGTGTTGTAAGGATGTTCATTATCTCTCATCATGGAATTTATATATAAATAATATATATATTTAAAATGATTCTAATCAAATTCCAACAAGATTTTTTTGGAATTAAAAAATATTCTAGAGTTACTATGAAAGAATATATGTGTAAAAAATCCATAAGTAGAAATATATATAATATCTACCCAATTAGCTCTAAAAAGGTATTATAAAACTGATATAATTAATGTGTAGCACTGGCACTAAACAGCTACAATGATAGAACAGAATAGAATGAAAGTACAGAAAAAGCTCTCATACAGTGATCCAGGGCATTCCAACAAGAGCGCAAGATCAATGAGTCACAATCCGTCATGAAAGCCCAATTCTAATATGGAACCAAAGAAAGTAACTTTAAGTCAAAAGACTCAGCATGGTAGGTTAACATCGTGACAGACTGGATTGACTGACATCTTCCTTCTTTAAAAAAAAAAGCCAGCAGAAAGCAAGAACACAGGCTGTGTGGGAATGGCCAAGGGTCATCATGGTTGGAGTATGCCACACCCCATGAGACCCCTCTGCTGATTGGCTGTTATCAGCAATGGTCCACGACAGCAAACCCTGAGGAGGAAAAGAGGCTGAGAAGCAAGCTCAGTCCTTCAACTGTCTCTTGCTGGTTGGCAGGGTATCTTCCCACATTTATTTATTTTATGCCTTTCTTTGATATAGATCTCATTTCCTGAGTGCCTGTTAGGCTCCTACACCTTGAATGGGGACATTTTTCATGGAGACCAACAAAAATGTGGGGGGCCACGATGCCACCGGCAGCAATGGTCGGTCCTGGGACGACAGGAAATAAGCGTTTCTGCCTCAATTCTCTGATAAAAGGTCTACCAGCCAAACCTCTGCCCTCAGTTCTGAAGAATTCACAGGGCAGAAAGGATGCTGAGGGTGGCTCCTGTGGGTGGGGCTTCAGGCACAGGATGCTGGACTAGGGGGCAGCTGGAAGTGAAAATGGGAACAACTGTCTCCGGGGCAAGAGAGTTGCCCCAGCAACAGAGTGGAAGTGAGCAGAGTCGGGGGAACCAGGGTGGGGATGTCTTTGAACATGAAATTTCCCCAAGTACGTCCAGAAGTTCTCAAGGTAAAAGAGGAACTTACTTCTAAAAGGAGCAGGGGGCACTCTAGGAAGAGGCCAGGCTCTGATTTGCTTCCAGAAAGCCTAGTGAAGCTGAACTTCTGAGCCGAACGAGGCAGCAACACCCAGAACCTCCTTCAAAACAACAACTATCAGGGAGCCTCCAACCTGCCAACAGTTGCCCTGCCAGAAATACTGTCTCTGGAGAAATGCT